TTTCAGAATATAAAATTCTAAAGGTTCCTTTCAAAGTTTTCCACCTATGGCGACACTATAACGTCTTCGGGCAGGGCATTCTATGGCATGACCATTCTAACAGAGAAGGGGAATTTTCGCACATCGAACCTTGAATGCTGAATGCGCAGTTTTAATTGGTGACCTCGGAGGTTGGTCGTGGTAGCAAGTTCAAAAAAGTCCCCAAAGGCCTAATTTAAGTCAAATTCTTTCACAAAGTGAATGCTTTTAAGAGACCCCCGCGCATTTTACCATAACTAGGAGGGAAGAATTTTTAATTCGTAAGGCCGGTTGCAAAGGGAAAGATGCCTTGATCCCTAACCATTCCGGTGGTTATCCTTCGAACTTTTTTCTCGACCATTCACGACCTCTAGGCTTTTATATCTTATTCGAAACGTGGTCTCACGAATCTCCCCAAGATCTTTGAGAAGAGGTCTTCATCAAAATCCTTAAATACCTGTTTGATGGCTCTTAACAGGGACATTGCGTTTTTTGCCACTCTGGAGTAATGAGTGAATGATTTTAAGGAGTTCGTCGTCAGCACACTAAGCTCCTTTCGGGTTTCCACGTCTTCCAGCGTCGCATTTCACGTCGCGTGCTCCTAAAGGTTCGTCACCAATTATGCGGTCGAGCATTCAATCCTTATGCCCGAAAATCACAACTTCTATGGCGTAAGTGACTGACATGCAGTTCTAGTCCGGCTGTAACACGAATGTCTCTCCTCTGAATCTAATGAACAGATGGGATTATCAGGCAAAGGCATCAGGCGGAGCAGAGCAATGTGATTAGCAGACTTCGCAGGAGAAACTGGGACTTCCGCAGACTACTGCACAATATTCTAATTTGATTCAGTCCATTTTGCAAAAATGAAAGGGCGGACATGCAAATATGGACCCTCAGATGTTATGGATGGTCTCACGCTAGATTCGAGGAGGTTTCTATTCCCGCGTCCTAACTTCCAGCTTAACCCTCATACAAACGCTTAAGCCAACCCCGACCCTCTTGGTCCCAACCTTAACATTAATCATGATTATCCTGACCCTAACTCTAACTCGAAATCTTACGCCTTTTGAAATTTAAGACGAGGCCAGCTGCACTGCGGCGTCCCTATCTCCGTCCCCAGGTGTATGTAACAAATGTTTGTTGAAGTTTTAACAAAGCTTAGGTGACTGGCACACAAACGAAAAGTGCGTAAAATGAAACTTCCTACGCCCATGTTCTACTCACCGACCTACGAGGGACGCGCCCGCCGGCCTTGCGAGTAATCCATGTTCTTATCCACTTTAATGGCAGGCGAGGCAATCTCATTCGCACAAGCAGGTGCTCACGCTATAATTTAGTAACTGATAAACCTGGTGCTACTTTAGGGGGTTGGCGGGTTGACGCCTATTTTGGTTGTTCTTCATATTTTTACAGTCTGTTCGAATACACACTAGCTCAGTGGCTAGGTTATTTTCTGTAAGTGGCTACAGCTTTGAATAAACACTGTAAAGCATCGTAAATGTAGGTTCCACGACTAACATTTACTCTACCTTATTTATTTCAGTTCTCCTATTAACATCTATAACGCTAATCACCTATTTCGTGGTGATTCCAGTCGCCCACCTCTACACAAACGATAAGTAAGTACTATTCGGCAAGTGCTTTCAAAAGGATGCTTTTCTAGCAGTGATAATTTAATGACTGACGGAAGCATATTGTACTGCTCGAAATTATTTATGCGAAGGGTGATTGACGGGTATGATTTGTCCCACCGTTGGAAGGTAAACTGCATACAGGGGCTACAAAGCCAGTCTCTCCATTTGCAGATATTGATTATCGTTAATTAAGAATGTGTGTCCAGCACAAAAACAGCAACTTGAAGTAATGCGTATACTTGAGCAAAACATGGTCGCCGAACATGCGAACAGAGCGCTTGAGAAGAATTCTAAAATAAAATCGGTTAACCGAATTTATGCTTAACCATATACGTGGGCTGAAATCTGCGCCGACGTACTGAGCACAATACAATTAGTGAACGCTTTTATATCGGTGATGCAAAAGAGTGAGGTTTTGGAACATTTTCTGATCAAAGAGGGAACAAAATCTCCACTAGGAAAAAAGCACTGCTGCATTTTCTGCCGCCGACGTTGGAATGAGCCCTAATTACGTCACTCCATCCGAGCGCTCATATAGTTCCACATGCAATCAATTGTCTTTGAACTCTTAAGCAATTCGCCATGATACCTCTCCAGTAATTTGTCGATCTGCAACTTTCTAACACAAAAATGATGCCACATTTCCATAGACATATACTTGATCCATATTGTCAAACAATATAACCACAGATGGGGGTCGATGTTCGAACTCCATGAAGAACACGACTGCACAAGCAACGCAACCATTTGCTTATTTGCCTGAGCTCTCGAACTCGTGAGGGATACAAACAACAAAAGAACGGGCGACGGTTAAAGGGGGTTTGCTAATCAACAATCAGTGACGCCGACACGAAGGTGGGTGAGAAGTGCCCTGTATGCCGGCGAAAAATCCATATTTCGATTGACTTATTTCTTATCCGAGGCCCAGGGCTCAATCAATTCTTGATAGATAATTTTGCAGCCCAACAAAATCAAAGCAGTAGCCAGTCAGTTAAATAGATTATTTGCAAATTCCAGTAAAAAAATTGGATCACAGGGAACAAATGGCGCCAAATGAAACCAGTAGACGCTGCTCGGACCCGATTCTCTTGTCTGCAAAAGATCCCCAATCCAAACCTTCCACTGTAGCCAATCGGTGCCCCAAAAGGCAGTCCCACCTATAATCTAGCGAAATGGGCGTACAGTGATCTCCCCTTGATTGCGGAGTTTTCATTCAAGAACCCCGGCGAAAAGCAGAAGACTAAGAATTAAATACAATAAGTTTTTATGTTTATCTTTATTTGCATGTATATATATATATAGTATGTTATTACTGACAAAGACAATGGAGATTGGAGTGGCCATTTCTGGCTTATTAGCCGTCGTCAGCAAGTCATACGCAACTCCGAAGTGTGGAACACCTGAGGTTCGAACTCGCGACCTGTTAGTTAGAAGTCCACGCCTCTAACCACTACTATTGTATATTCCCGATCGAAACCGACAGAGCAACGGGCTCGTGGCTCAGTAGTTAGAGGCGTGCACTTCTAAATAACACCTCGCGAGTTCGAGTCTCGCGTGTGCCACACTTCGGGGTTGGGTATGACTGGCTGACGAAGGCTAATAAGCCAGAAATGGCCATTCCAGTCTCCCTTGTCTTTGTCGGTAATGCCATTCTAGCTTTAAAGGTGTTGTGGCCGATGCCTGCGCGCTCACCCCCGGAGGATCCTGTCGGAAATCAGTAATGACATGGCATGCATTTGCCATACATTAAGGGCATTTTGGGGGCGACCGGGCGCATTGCTGCTGGACTACGTGCTGGAGTTTCTCCCCCAACCAACCCTACCATGTGCAGCGGGGTCATTTAAATCAAAGACGGATTAAATCGGAGAGAAGAGTCGGGCGTGGTATATCGTATCCCGTGTGCCCTGTCCTCCATATTACACAGGTCGGACTGAACGCATCCCCGGGTCGCGCCTACACGAACATAAACTGGCCGCACGGCGCGTGGGCGAATTATCACACGAGGCTGCCCACACCATCGGAACTAGTCAGGAGTTTGACTTCGCGGCCGCCAGGATAATCGCCCGCGCCGTAAACAAAATAAGCCAGCAACTCATTGAAGCCTGGGCTTGGGACGAGAACTCATTCAGCGATGCATCGATCTGGCGATGGCATGCAGAGTCCTGCACAGCCACCTTCATGGCTAAGTCACTGACCGCTGATTTGCAAGCACCCCCTATAACTGTCGCTCGTCCCGCAGGAGTTCGACATTTCAGACAAATAAACAAATTGTCCCGGTACTCGGCCAATCTTCTTCCCTCTTACTTGTATAACCGCATTCTAGACCTCATCAAGTTCAGCACCGATTGACTTTACTTCAGTAACAACATCTTTTACGAAACGTCAGTTCGCCTCGGATGCGGCTGAGCGCTTGACCTCTTGAAGCTATGTCCCAACATTCATGTCGTTTTTGATGAAGTAATCTGAAGACAAGTGAAGGATAGGCCACCGTGTTCATCGACCTACCTTCCATAACTGAGTTGGTCTTTCCACCGTTAGAATCAATGGCATCCAAACACCAAGGACACCACTTGTTGGACCCATAATCGAACGATGTTATCAAGGTGCCATGGTCGAAAACTTGAAGATTACCAAATCGGAAGGCAGGGAAGACAGCTGGGCAGGGTTTACTGGAGCGATGTAGTATATAGGCAGCTCAGCAAACAGCAGCCAGCATCCTCACCAGGCGTGTGCCCGCCTAAGTGCTTGCGCCCGAACTTCGTCCGGCTGCTGCCAATCGGTGAAGACAGAAATATTGATCGGCTTTGCGAGTCGGATGATGAGTCACGCGTGTAGGGGGGCCGGAGGCGGCGTGGGCAAGCGCCGGCGCTGACGTCCATGAGAGTGGGCAGCTAAAGTATTCCCTGCCTGGGCCGAAGAGAATGTTTATGTCTAAAAAATATGAGTAGCCCAGCGATCAGGAAAGTGACCACGGCGTTCGCTACGTGTGGTACGGACGAGGGGGGACGGGAGTAGAGGGCTGAATTTATGCTGCGTTGGACGATTTGGAGGAGGAGGAGGAGGAGGAGGAGGAGGGCGGAGAAGAGGACGAAGTTGCAATTGGAAGCAGAGGACACGCCGGGCAGACAGTAGACGGAATGGAGGGATAGAGGGTGGGGGAGGTGGGAGACCATGGGGTAGGGAACCAGCATACTTCTGTCCCTGCGGCAGATTGGGTGGCTTGTCAGGAACAGCAGCCTTGACCCGCTCGAGGCTGGCCACGTCCTTGTCACTGGGAGCGATCCTTCAAGCCTAGGTAGTGCGTGAGAATACTCGAAGCGGTCCTCCATTTGATGAGTCCGACAGTCAGCGCACTAGGTCATCCCAGATGAATACGTGAGTGTATTCGGCCAAGCCTCTCTCGAAATAAGACTCAGTCGGTGGGGTGGAGTGCGGGCAGAAATCGGAGGAAAGCGAACGCATCAACTGCCGCAGGCAGGGCACAAAATTGTCAGGACTCTCATCAGCACCGCGAGGGGTCGGTGTGAACATCTCACCTGGCAGTCGGAGGGTAGCGCCGAAAGTCAATTCGGCTGCGCTGTGGTCCAGATCCGACTTTGGTGCCACATGAATGTCAAGACGTGCAAGGGGCAGGTTGGTAGAGCAGTTCGCTGAGTTTTCAGCTTTCCATGGGTCGGTTTTTAGCCTGCGATGGAAACGCCCGAAAATGCCGGTGCCCGATGGATGGTAGGTCGTTGTCGAAATGCGCATGCAGCCAAGAAAGGTGCAGAGGGATTAGAAGAGAGAGCAGACTCGAACTGGGCACCTGATAAGTCGAAGGCGGCATGGGCCAGCGGCGTTGCTGACGATCGTGAGGTCGGGCAGGTACAACGTCTTCCTTGTCTATTTCTTGTCTAGCTTTCCTGGTCACTTGCCATTACTTCAGAACCTGGCCGGCTAGACCTTAGATTCAAGCCCTGCCTCGTTGATCGTTGACTGAAAAGTCCTATCGACGAGTTACAGGTCCAAATTCCAGCTGTGATCGCCTTCGGGGTTACGTATACTCTGAATGTTGATAGATGAACAGGCATGATTCGTGGGAAGGAATGACGCTGTTCTCTCGGCAGGGCCAGGCCGCATCTTCAATGATTACCTGATCGAATCCTCGAAAATGACACAAACCGCACTTGTCGCGAGCTGCCCTGACTGACGGTCTGTGTACCCAGCACACTGTCGTGTCCATATGTTAACTGAACGGCTGGAATCCTCGTTCGGTGTCTAAGAGTCGATAGCACTTTTACCGGAATTTACGTGAGGTGCTATTGTGAAAGAAGGAAACCGAGAGTGCTGTTCCTTATCGCCAAAAGTTTCGGCTTAATGATTGGTTTTCGACAGGTCCATTGGATCGAAGAAAATTGTAAAGAAAGAGATCGGCGTACTTAAGGCCTCCTCCGTGGTGTCATTCATTCAGGTAACTGGTGCACGCACTGATCGACGAAAGTGTCTTAACAGAACAATCATAAAATGGGGTAGGCCCGAGGTGGCAGCTTCCTAACACCGGTGCCAGAAGACCTCCCCAACCAAGTGATCTCAGGCGAGGAGAGCCAGACTTAGAGCAGTTAGAACATTGTGTACCAGTTCGAAATGGGAATACTCTTACCCTCACCACCGCAGCATTCCCTACCCCCCTTCCCTCCCCCCATTTAAAGTAGTCCATCAGATACCCCACCAGCTGGCGATTGTGGAAACGAAATTTCCATGAGCGGGCTCGGCGCTTGCGACAACCCCTGGGACGGGTAGGTCCCTCAAAACGAGAGCAATTGACTTCAACAGAATGTTCAATGACTCAGGTAGAATATTCCTCAACATTTGATCAACAAGAGGGAAGACTGGAGAACGGGAACTATTTGCACGCTAGAGGCAACAGGAACATATGCAATGCTAGTAGACTAGTGAACGTGGGGTGTCCAGAACAACCAGTCACAAAACTAATGCCACACCGTGGTCAATTTCAAACCAAGGACAGCATATGCGAAATTCTGAAGCAGATGGACTCGGTCTGGAAGAGTGTTAACCTGTTGCTGTTCACGCAGGAGACGGAGGGTCGGTTTTTTAAATTTGTAGGCTCCT